ATATAAAAATGTTTGTCATAATCATGTCTTGTAATTATTTGACAGGAGTTTTACTTTTAAACTGTAAATGTTTTTAATTTAGTTATGTTAGTTATGATAGTTTAGTTAAGATGTAAATACAATAAAAATTAAACCAAGTTGTAGAATAATCATCATTTTGATCCATACTTTGGTAATGTCTGACTTGGCCTCGTGTCACTTCATGTTCAACAAATTGGGCCCCGAGGTCAAAAATTTTAAGAACCCTTGATCTTTTTCATGCGTTACGCACGTTGTTTAAACCGTCTCTCTCTGGTTAAGAATATGTATTAACTGGTGCCCCTCGTGCCATGTCTCCCCTCACAGGCATCCCACACCCATGATGCCATAGCAGAGGCTGCTCAGCTCATGAAGGAGGCCGTCGACGACATCATGGTGACGCTAAATGAGGCTGCGAGCGAGGTGGGAATGGTGGGAGGAATGGTGGAGTCTATCGCCGAGGCCATGGGCAAGGTGAGCTCAGCTAGTGGAGCTGGGTCTTAATGTTTGATAACCAGCTCTATGGGAATGTTAGATGACTTGTAAACAGCAGCATCATAGCCTTCGTTCTCAGGCTTTCATCACCTGCAGCGTTCCACAAGTGTACCGAGCTGGGGAAGAAGGCGTTCTCATACTCTGCTCCATCCAGCTGGATCAGGAGCTGTCCTGTCTCATTACCATCCACAAATTTAAACTTTTAATGAAAGATTTGGAGAAAACTTCCATTAACGCTTGTTCCTGTTTTTGAGCTTTTTACAATTTAGATACTTTAGAAGCCAGATATTGTAACAGGATATTGTGTTTGGATTTATTTTGATGTGCCTTTATTTTGTTGAAATTATGAGTTGTATTTCTTTTACTATTTTATTTTTGTAAAAAAAAAGGTCTCTCTCGCAAATGAGACAATTGTGTTTTAATGAGGCTAACATCTATATATAAAGGAAATGAAATAAAATTAGGTTAGGATGCACCAAACAGCTATTTAAACTCTGGTTTTTGAGTTGGAGGCAGCTGTGGACTCACATATGAGGTGTTCCCAAGACGAGCAGGATTTAAACAGTGCCTATTTAAGGTTCTGCTATAAGTTGGCCATCTTTGAAAACATCCAGAGGGAAATGTTTGCCACAGGCTCTCCTGCCTCTGCTGTGTCATGTTTCTCAGAATGTGTCCGTGTATTCGTGGTTAGTGTTAACAGTCTTCTCATTCTGAGTTCAAACCTGACAAACTGATTCTATCCAGAGATGAACTCTCTCTCTCTCCTCTCTCCTCTCTCTCTCTCTCTCTCTCTCTCTCTCTCTCTCTCTCTCTCTCTCTCTCTGTCTGTCGGTCTGTCTGTCTGTCTGTCTCTGTCTCTTTCATTACTCAAAGGAGACATATGCAAAATCCACTCTTTTTAGCCATTAAATACATTTTGTTGTGTACTTGCAGTCTCTAGCAGTGCAGAAAAGTTTAATTTAGTCTCTCTTGGTGCTGTGTAGATATCTTTATATTCTGTTTAGGTCATATTTTTCAATCCATTCAGTTTTTCTTTTAGTTTTTCTGAACTATTACATCAAATTATTTGTGATGGAACAGCCAAATAAGGCCTGGACTTATCAGCTACAATGTTGTCATTCTCCTCTGGCTCTGGGTCAGACTCTGGCTCCAACATGTAAGGCTGGATGGATAAGTCTTCCCTTGTTGACATATTTTAATTAATTTTTAAATAAAGTGTTTTCACACCGCTATATAGTCGTAAACTGCTCTATCAAAGTGGAATGAACTGGTATGGAAGTCGTAGGGGCAGGGTGTGTGAAGCGCCTTGTTTGGATTTGAAGAGACAGCCTCAAAATGAGTTGATCAGAGACACACCTCAGATGAGGGGTAAAAGGGGGGCTTGTGGAGTTTCAGTAAGGAGGAATTCAAACCAAAGCATTGCAGTTCCACTTTATACAGACGACTGAATGATTTAAATGCGAAAAAGGATTTTAAGTCATCATGTCTCCTTTTGACTAGTAGAGCAAGCATCTAAAAATAGGCTCTGATTAGTGAAAAAATGTTTTGTGGTCATCACTTTTGTTCAAACCAGAGTGTTGTGAAGAAAGAAAGTCTGGTAAATTGTTTAACAGTTAACAGTGAGCACAAAGGGAGGCCACAGCGTTGTTTCCTAATTAAAAGTTTCTTGTTTTGTCCTTTTTGACTCAAACTTCATCAAATGTCCTCCCTACCTTCTTTTTTTCTTCTTTCCTAATCTTTTAATTTAACAGCCAAACATTCAGCAAACTTTCAGAGAGACCACACTTTTTATCTCAAGTACAGGTAGAGAGCAGCATCAGCTAATTACTCCTGTCTTCACCTTCCTGAGCTGGAAGTATCACAAAGGTGACAAACTACCTCGATTGTGTGAGTTTTACCAGAGGGAGCAGCGGCTTGGCATCATTTCCCTGTGGCGCGTCATGAATAACTGATAAAACCGGATTGTTTTAGGGCACGTTTTACGCGTTCAGGTGTGTGTTTTATCTGCGTGTCATTCAGTGAAGCTGATTAAACGGTGGATAATCTTCTCAAATAATCAGTAGATCTAACGGGGCCCTCTCCTCTGAGGTTTGAGCAGAGGTGATTCGAAGCTTTCTCTCATGAACTCTCGAGTCGCTCGTTCAAGGCTGCAGATTGCGAGTGGTTATTTTACTCAGCGGGAGGAGTGAACATCATGTACTTGAGATACTATGATTTCATTTCATTCCCAGCGTGTTTTCCCCCTACATGTTGTCACTTTATTTTGCCTGCTTTTTGTATGACACTCACGTGAGTTATCAGTCTGTTTTAGCAAAAAAAATGATGGAAATTTGTTGGATTTTCAAGGTGGTGATCAAATGTTTTGTAGCCTTTTGTAAAGCTGAAATTACAGACAGTTTGTGAGTCATTTATAACTTGTGATTCTTGTTCAGTTTTCACATCGGCTGTTTTAGTTAAAAGCCTTCAACAAGGCAGAGTTTGTACAAATCAAGAGTAGATTTATTATCATGCAGCAGCTGACTTGTTGTTTTTTTATTTATTTTTTAATGTGCTGTGTTTGTATATCTCGTTTTAGCTGGATGAGGGTACGCCACCTGAGCCTGAGGGGTCCTTTGTGGATTACCAGACCAATATGGTGAAACACTCGAAAGCTATTGCTGTCACTGCTCAGGAAATGGTAAGATTTTGTGATAAAACTTAACATCTTTGGATTTTTAAAGGGGGTATTATGAAAAATCCTCTTTTTTTTAGCTTTGTAATATGTTATGTCATTCCCTCATCAAACACATCCCCAGAGTGTTGCTTTGACTCATTCATGCATGTTTGAGAAATCCTTCAATCTCCTGTGGTTTCCATGTGGAGCTGCCTAAACACTTGTTGGTACAAAGCACCACCTATTTACAGAAAGCTCCTCCCTGGAATTCAGTCCCAAGCTGAGTTCCGGCCCCACAGAGCACCCCTCCCTGTAAGCATTGTTATTGAAGACTTGCTGAAGTGGGAGTGTCAGAAATGGTAGGAGGTTCTGTAGATAGGCTATGATGTAATATCATTTATTTTTGATATATACAGCATTTTTAAAACAACTAAAAGTAACATAGTTACATGATTGTGGTTTAAAATCGATGTGTGTCTGGAAAATACATAATACCATTCCTTTAAAGGGCCAATATTATGTGTTTCTCAGGCATATATTTAAATACTATACCATAATAAAGTGTCTATGTCGAATTTAGCTGTTATTAAAATGCTGTTTTTATGTTTAAATAGAAAATAAACTTATCTTCTCATCACTTCCTCTTCTAAACGCCTTGAAATTGGCCTCTGTCTCTTTAAGAACCACCTTCCGCTTCTGTCTCGCCCATTTCGGGAGGGGCGGGTGCAGTTTACTTGGCATCTGAAAATACATTTCCTCGAAGGTATTTTTTAATCTGAAAAGAGCTTCACTGAGTGAGAAGTAAGGAGCTCAGCAGACAGTTTAAGTTTCACTTTCAGTTTCATGAGCGGCGTGTGTGTGTGTGTGTGTGTGGTGGGGGGGGGCTGCCATGAGGAAGCTGCAGGATTTCTCAAACATACATGAATGAGTCAAAGCAAGGCTTTGGACATGTTTTTATGAGAGTATAACATTATAACATGATATAAAACTCAAAAAAGTTAATTTTACATGATATTGCCCCTTTAATGTGACCGATTTGTGAATGTTACCAATTTAAAAAAAAAAAAGGTTAAACTTGATTTAAAAAAATATCTGAAATTATAACATGTGTAAGAAATGTTTCAGAAATAATATGGCTTGTAGATCTTTGCAAACACCAATGTCTGGATTGAACTGACCTCGTGGTTCAGTTTGATTTTGAATTGTGTGTTTATCCATCAGATGACCAAATCAGTGACGAGTCCAGATGAGCTGGGAGCCCTGGCCTCTCAAGTGACCGTGGACTATGGTCAGCTGGCGGTTCAGGGACATCTGGCTGCTCACACGGCCGAACCAGAAGAGGTGAACAGGACACTCGGAGACAGGAAGTCTGACTCGTGAAGCAGCTCGACACAAGTTCATTTATAACCTGCAGTTTTATGTCCCTTTTTGCTGTTAATTAAGATATTAAAGCCATAAACGTGAGCTTTGCTGTTCTGAATGACATATGTGTTTGTGCAGATTGGTTTCCAGATTAAGACCCGAGTGCAGGAGCTCGGCCACGGCTGCATCTTCCTGGTCCAAAAGGCTGGAGCTCTGCAGATCACCCCGTCTGACAGCTTCACCAAGAGGGAGCTCATTGATTGTGCACGTGCAGTCACAGAGAAGGTACTGTTAGAGATCAGTTTTTCTGTAACAGCATTGCTGTTTTCACTGTCTGTTAGTAACATTACTGAAACTAAATGAGGTATTAGACTTTAAATTTCTCAGCTTCGTTTTAAATCCCAGTAATAAAATCATTGTTTCCATCTGAAGCTTGTCTGCACATCTGTGTGATTTCTAGGTGTGCTGCTGTGTGTTTGCATCCCCAGGTGTCGTTGGTGCTTTCAGCCCTCCAGGCAGGCAACAAGGGCACGCAGGCCTGCATCACTGCTGCCAGCGCAGTGTCGGGGATCATCGCAGACCTGGACACCACCATCATGTTTGCCTCCGCAGGCACGCTCAATACAGAGAACGACGAGTCCTTCGCCGACCACAGGTCAGTTTGAGTCCGTATGTGTGAGTGATGCTACAAGGTGTAAAAAAGTGGAATCCACACTCCAGCTCCTGCTTATCTTTCATCCCACACTGACAGGGAGACGTATTGGCTGCTGAGTAGCGAGGAAGTCTCCGGGGATAATTACCCAGATTATTTAAAAGTTTCAGGTTGTGTTTGATGTCGTAGTGTTCATACTCAGGAAAAAGAACTCTTTGAAGCAACATTCTTTTTGTTAAAGAGTATTTTTTTTCATTGTTTGATTTGTATGTGAATGGATTAAACCTGTTCAAAGAGAGATTACTGCTTATACAAGACAAGACTTGTGACTTTACATGCCACTGTGGTGTATAACTGTTCAGGTAGTCTTCAATAAATCTCTTATTATTGAAAATTGAGGTGAGCAGAGGTGTAGATAATCAGTGTCATGGCAAAATGGAAGGCTATTTCTGCAGCTTTTTCTAAGGGATTTTTACAAAAAATGCAGGCTTTGACAAAAAATACTTTTAAAACAAAGAGAAGTATGTATCAATTTGTTTTAAATTTGACAATAATGCTTACATTTTAGAGTACAAGAGTAAAACGTCCAAGATCCAAGCTTTTGTTGCCTCTTTTTTTCGATGTCAGGGAAAACATCCTGAAGACGGCTAAAGCTCTGGTCGAGGACACAAAGATGTTGGTCTCCGGTGCAGCTTCTGGCCAGGACAAGTTAGCTCAGGCTGCCCAGTCTTCAGCCAAAACCATCACACATCTTACCGATGTTGTCAAACTGGGAGCTGCCAGCATTGGTTCCGATGATCCTGAGACGCAGGTTTGACTGTTTTTCTGTTTGTCTTTTATTCTCTGAATAAAAAATAGAGAGAGGAACGAGCTGTGAAAGGCTGTAACCTTTCAGTTCTTTTTTTCTCTCTCTTTCCTGAACTGCTCAGTGATAAGTTAGTCAGTGTCGACCCGTTCTTTCTTTAGGTGGTTCTGATAAATGCTGTCAAAGACGTGGCCAAGGCGCTGGCTGAGCTCATCAGTGCCACCAAGTGTGCTTCTGGCAAGGCAGCAGATGATCCATCTATGTACCAGCTGAAGAGCGCTGCCAAGGTGAGGGGATCGGTCTGTAGAGGATGAAGGTGGATCATTACTTTATTCAAACCAAAACCAAAAAATTTGCTTTTCTTCGATTAATGGAAAAAAAAATCTCTAGAAAATCCAGTTGTCTAACAAAAAAAAAAAAACCCACTAGAATTACCTTATCAAAGTTAACCACTCTCTGCCACATCCTGTTCGTATGCTGTCCAGACTTCCTCCTCTTCCTCAGATGGAGCAGTTAATCAATTTGAACAGCCCTCTTCCCGTCCTGAAACCTTGTTAACAAGAGTTCAAATGAACACTGTGTCTCAGCAATGGAAATAGCTTTGGTTTTGAGGATAACAGAGCCTGTTAGTTTTACTTAAGATGAAACATCTGAATCCTGTGCTCTGACATGCCAGCAGTGCTGGAGCCGCAGTTCATAATTCACGGCTGACACTTGGCTGCTTATTATCACTTTGAGCTGCGAAGAAGTCGACTCTCAGTCGGTACCGCCGTCAGGTGTGATGAAGCCTTACAGATGGTGGAAACAAATCCTGTTTTAGTTCCAGAGGTAGAAAATCTTTATTTAAAGGGATCCCCGATTAGTTGTAACATTAGACTTTATATGATAAACATATACTTTAACTGTAAAATAAAGACTGTAAAAATACTGTAGGATTTTCAGTTTTTATAATTTTTAAACTAAAAGTTTAAAAATATATTACACGGACGGGACCATTTTATTTACATGCAAAGCATTCTGGGTAAATGATGACATCAACTAGGTCCTCCTTGCGAYGSWGCTAGTYAACTATATCCACCCTGAAGGTTAATCTTGGACAATATCTGATGATCGACTCTTTTAAATGAAACCAGAGAGCGTTGACAGAGAGGAGAAGGTAGAAATGACTCAGCCTGTAACTGAAAATATGGATGGAGGACAACAGAGCTGCTTCATGGAAGAAGAACCTCAACTTAGCCTTTTAGCTTTAGCATTAGCCCCATCGCTATCACCATATATATGTATTAGCTCAGTGCTACACATTCTCCTCTTGTCACTGAGGTCCTCCATCCACATGACAGAGAGGGGAACACAAAAATGACTCAGCTGCAACTGAAAATATGGATGGAGGACCTCAGTTTAGCTTGTTTGTCACGCTAGCACCGAGCTAATACATAAGGCAATATAGTGTTGGCGCTAGCACAAAGGCTAGCAGGCTAAGCTGAGGTTCTTCTTCCATGAAGCAGCTCTGTTGTCCTCCATCCATATTTTCAGTTCCAGGCTGAGTCATTTCTACCTTCTCCTCTCTGTCAACGCTCTCTGGTTTCATTTAAAAGAGTCGATCATCAGATATTGTCCAAGATTAACCTTCAGGGTGGATATTGCTCACCAGCAGCCTCGCACCAATGACCTAGTTGATGTCATCATTTACCCAGAATGCTTTGCGTGTAAATAAAATGGCTCCGTCCGTGTTAAAACACATTTTAAAAAAATTACAAAACTAAACAGCCTACAGTATTTTTACAGTCTTAATTTTACAGTTAAAAATAAATGTTTATCAAATAAAGTTTAATGTTACAACTAATCAGGGATCCCTTTAAGATTTGGTGTTTAGAGGTACAGATGTCCCTCTGTTGTGTTGTGCCTCCTATTGTTCAATGTGTTGTATTACACACAGGGTTCGTGCAGGGTCTTAAAAAGTCTAAAATATGAAAATCTAAATTTTAGGCCAAAAAAAGTCTTAAAAATGCCCAGATTTTCATCCAAGGTCTTAAATTTAATTTTGTTAAGTCTTAATTTTTTTACTTTCGATCATTCCCGAGAAGCGTTGGCTGCATAAATGAACAAGAGTCAAGTGCTGTGATCAGAGCTTGATGTGATCTGTCTTCATGAAGTTCTACGCTTGCTACCAGTCTTTGTACACGTTAAACTACAAGTCCTGTGATAACTGCAGGCAACAAACGGCACAGTTTACTCCATGTTTTCAACCTCTTTCAACCCCCTGCATACGGTGGCGTAATCACCCGCCCAAAAAACAAAGAAGTTCAGTCATGTCCACTGCTTGTGGTTTAAATACTAGAAAGTGTGTTTTCAATGAGACATGGCTTGATATCAGTGATTGTTACACTCTGATGGAAGCGATCCACAGCAGTCAATATGAAGGCCTCATAGATATGACTGTTTCATTAAAATAATTTTGTGTTCTTGTATTAAAAATAAATATTTTTAATAGCTAAATTAATAGCAATAAAAGGTTTTTATGTTAAAATTTCTGGGACCATTTAAATGTTTTTATTATGGGTCGTTTTTCTTAAAGGGGACCTATTATGCAAAATTCAATTTTTAAAGGTTTTTTTACTCAACTTTGGGTATGTACTTATTAAAAAACAGTCCTAGGACCAAAAAAATGCACCCGGGGCATATTTACTGTAAGTAAATGTATTTTTAATGTATATTAACGACAAGTTTTATACTTCAGTCATTTTGTGATGTCACAAGCCGTACGACAACCCACCAGAACCTGCATTCGGCCCCTTACCTAGCAACCCCCGGATGAGGCTCCACCTCCTCAGTATAAAAAGCCGTCATGGTTGTTGTTGTGTAATGCGCAGCTCATTTCACAACAAGCCTCCAATAAGGCAATGGGTAGAGTGTTGGACCAGAGAGCGGGAGACCAGGGTTCGAGACCGTCATGGACACAGTTTAATTATTTATTTATTTTCGTTCGTTATGAACACATTTTCTCATGTACCTCTATTGTTTAGCTTATTAAAGCCTTGTTAAAGCCTATTTGTTCGAGTTTCTGAGGTATTTTGACCGCTGCTGCTCCCTGCTCTGGTAACAGCATGCAGAGTGAGTGCAGAGCAGAGGAGGGAGAAAAAAAAAAGAAGCTGGTACCACGACTCTGCCTCTGGGTCTCATATGGTTGTACAACGGAGCTTCTGCTATTATTAGCCATGCTAACGTAAACGCTGGCTTTGGAGGGTGGAGTTAATGTCAGCAGATTTTTGGAGGGCGTTACCAACAGAGCTCATTAACATAAACAGCTCTTCTGAACGGAAGTCAGAGCAGGCAGAACTAGAAAATGGGAAATTTTATTATCTGAGAATTATTTTGTGCATTAAATTGAATGAACATGGTCTGGATAGCCCACAGACATACCATAAAGATTTCTGGGACTCATAATTGGTCTCCTTTAAATGTCATTCCGGATGGTCTTAAAAAGTCTTTAAAATGTCTTAAATTTAACTTGCTGAAACTTGCATGAACTCTGTACACAATGTAATGTAGTGGGGAGTTTATTTGGCTCTTTATTCAAATTTTTAGATGAAAGTTTATTTGTTTGTGTGAGTTCATCTGTAGCTTACTGACTTGGCACATGCTTAGTTTCCTGGATGAGCCATAAAGCCAACAACCCTGGCTGCTTGTCTGCATAATATTATTTTATATTGCAATCTGGCTTTTTGTTAATGTCATAAAATATTGATGAGAGGGAAACTCTTTGTCTGCCAGGTGATGGTGACCAACGTGACGTCGCTGCTGAAGACCGTCAAGGCCGTGGAAGACGAGGCCACCCGGGGAACCAGAGCTCTGGAGGCCACCATTGAGTGCATTAAACAGGAAATGATGGTGAGGAGGAGCAAAGAGCCAAGCCAACGTTAATATACTGTCGTGTGGATTACATCTAACATTGTCCAAATTCAGATGAGCAGCATTTTATGTGAAATCACGAGTATTAGGTGGCTGATTGAGTAGAAACTTGTCAGTTTTGCTGCATCGTTTAGGCTGTGCTCTGTTTTCTCTTTAGATCTTTCAGTCTAGGGATGCTCCAAACAGAACCAACACACCTGAGGAGTTCATACGGATGACTAAGGGCATCACTCTAGCAACTGCTAAAGCAGTGGCTGCAGGAAACTCTGCCCGGCAAGAAGACATCATCCACACTGCCAACCTGAGCCGCAAAGCCATTTCTGACATGCTGACCACCTGCAAGGTTGCATGGTTTTCATGGCAAACTCTGGGTTCACATGGAGACCAGGGGCCCTGAATGTGTGTGTGTGTGTGTTTATCTTGCAGCAAGCAGCCTACCATCCAGAGGTCAGCGAGGAGGTGAAGAACAGAGCGCTGATGTTTGGAGCCGAGTGCACAACTGGATATATCGACCTGCTGGAACAAGTGCTGCTCGTAGGTTCAACACAAAACCAGGGAGGGTGTCTTGAAAGGAAAAAAATGAAAGAAATTATTTTAAAAACGATTTATTGTCTGGTGTTGTTGCTTTATTATGCTTTTCAGTGTTACAGAAGTTATTATACTTTGCGAGTAGTCAGTGAGTGTGTTGTGTTTAGGTGCTGCAGAAGCCCACCTCAGAGCAGAAACAGCAGCTGGCAGGTTGCTCCAAGCGTGTGGCGGGGGCCGTCACAGAGCTCATACAGAGTGCCGAGGCCATGAAAGGTAATGACTCCCTCACAGTTGTACACACACGTGTCAGACGGGCCTTTTTACAAACCTTTTTGTAACGTCCCTGTCCTCCTTCTCTTGCCACAGACGGAGGTAAGTTGGTATCGGTTTCTGTACTGTGACTTATTTCACCGGTTGTGGGCCGTTCCACCAGCTCTGCCTGCAGCACACCCATCGGTTGATTTAATCTAAAGAAATAAAACGACCCTCGGGCGTCTCGAGCATTCATCACGCTTTGTTTTGCATCGCATTTCAAAAGACACCACTCCCGTTTTCATTCGGTTTGCGGCCTCCATCAGCTGTGCATGAAACGGGGAGATTTGTGTCGTTGAGTTCTCAGTTTTTTGTGATCACGGCATGAGGCATGTTCTGTAAGGTTTCACTGCTGTTCTGTTTTCACGTTTCAATCCTAATGATCCTCAGGTTCAGAATGGGTGGACCCCGAGGATCCGACGGTGATAGCGGAGACGGAGCTGCTCGGGGCGGCGGCGTCCATCGAAGCAGCAGCCAAGAAGCTGGAGCAGCTAAAACCCAGAGCGAAGCCGAAGGTAGGCAGCTGAGGGATGGAGGGAGGAGTTATTTATTTTATTTTTTCTAAATGCCACAGAGCAGAAGTGAGAAGATCGTTTTTTATAGACAGTTTTGAGTTTTTTATCTCAAAGGCGTTGATTTATTGTCAGCTGTTTAAAATTGCATTCATTCAGTTTTTTCTAATAAAGACAAATACAAATGCGTCAACTTTTTAAATCTTTTAAATGTTCTATTTTAGGTGTAAATAGTGTTTTATGTGAAATCTTTCAAATTTAACTCAAATATAAATGCATTAGTGTTCAGTGTTTTCCATTGGAAGCACATTAGAATCAAAGAATACAAGAATTTACAGCAAACCTGCTAATTATTAGTTTTATGGAGCCCAGCTGCCGTTTGGGAGGAAAAAGCTATTGTTATTAGATGCCCTGTTAGAGTTTTTCTGTTTAGAAAGAGGTTGCCCAGTAATCCTGGTGTGTGAGTGCTGCAGGTGTTGTGTGTTTAGCCATGTTTTCAGTGCAGAGCTGAGTGGACTCATCAGGATTTTAGAGATGGTCCACAAGTAGTAACATCTTTCTACAATATTCAGTCATCCCAATCGTTTTATAGAGAGACAGCAAAATAGATATTTATGTCTCCTTGTAATCTCATTGACAGTTCAATCAAAAAGGCTTTCGTATGACTTTGAATCATTTTTGTACTTTGTTTACTTTGCACAAGTTTCCTTTAGCGCGGCGTATGACTTGTTTGGAGTAAAACTAAGCGGAATGGCATTATCTCCTTTGTTGTTGATGGGAAAATATCATTGATCCTGGGAGAAAGAACTTCACTGAAACCAGACAGTGATTTATTGCTGGTTCTGAAACAGAACGATGTTTGTTAGTAAATTTGTGTGCACAGTTTGCTAAAGTGAGGGAATCGATTTGCCTGACCTTTATTTTTACTTTGACACCAGTTAACTGCTGAGATCTGGGATTTTCTTTATCTCCAGTGTTTTGTCTTTATCCTGTTGAAGTTATCATTCACTTTAGAGGATATAATAGTATTTATGGTGCACTGGTTTAGAAAAACACATTTGTTCTGTGTATATTTTACCAGAATGTTTCATTTCAGATTATCATCATCTTTGTAGTTGTAAAAAGACTGCATCAAAATATCTTCTTTGTAGAAAGTTAAAACATTTCAGCTCTCTGTGCTTCTCTGTCCATTTGATAAATCCAGTTAAGTTTGAGAGTTCACATTGAGATTTGTGCACAAATGAATCAAAAAGGAATTTCACATTAAAAAAGCATTTTTCCTGTTTTTGTCAGATTTATGGAAGGAACCTTTATAGCTTCTTTTTTTCTGTATCGTCCGCTTTAATGTTTCAGCTTAAACACTTTGTTTATTTGTACTTCCTTTCACAGTCCAAAGTCCCTGTCACACTATAACATTTTACACAACTTATGCCGACTTATGAAAATTTTGTTATGATTATTTTACTCTTATCAGCTGTATATTTGATCTAATTGTTAGCATTACAGAATGTATCTGTTCAAAAGAGGCTTCCAATAGATTTTTTTTTAAATTCCATCTTCATCTTAGACATCTTTAGTGTTGGACAAACATTTCATAAGTTGGCAGAAGTTGTCTAACATGTTATAGTGTGGCAGGGCCCTAACAAAGACAAAGACTCTAAACTTGACATAAATCCAACATCTTTAACTCATCGTCTTCATTTACATCCCTCTCCTCCAAACATCATTTACCATCTCCTCCTCCTCCTCCTCCTTGCTCGCTTACACCTCCAATCTTTTCATGTGTCAGTCTGTCCCAGTCAACCATTTGATGTCTAGCTCCCAGTTAGCCCACCCCACCCCCCCTTCTTCTCCTCCCTGCCTGCCCCCACCACCGGAGGCCTTCTCTGCTGGGCTCTGTCTGATATGTTTGATATATTAGGTTGTTATTCAGTCCCAACTATATATCAAACATATTCCTACAGTGTCCCGCTCTGTCTACAGACTTGTGGTGTGAATGTGTATCTGTGTTTGTGGATGTGTGCGCGTGTGCTTGTGTGCGTGCGCGAGTGTGTATGTGATGTCTTATGTACAGAGTGTTGGCCCCTCTTAAGTTTTGTGTAGCTCCTCATCAGTTGTTGCACTTTAAGATGTTGGTTCAGGTGTTTGGGAGTTTTTGGACGTCACCTGTTTATAGTCATCAATCTCATCTGTTATGGGGAAATTATACTTCGTTCCATTGCAACTAAAGTTCCATAGAAATGTTTGAAACCAGAATTTGATGGAGTTGGGTTACAGCAAATCCAGTTAAATTGTATATGAATGACTTGTCCATCAGATCACAATGTGTCTTCAGATATTCAAGGTTGTTCCTCAAGGTTCTATCCTAGGCCCCCTTTTTTATATAATCTATATTAACAGTTTAGATAATGTGACCACATGCTAATTAATTGTGCAGCTAACTCAGTATAAAGTTATTTAGAAAAACTACAAACTGCTTTTAATGTGGTTCAGTCCAAAGTTTTGAATTTTAATCAGTGCTGTTTTCTAATACTAAACCCAAGTTTAAACCACAGTTGTTGTCACCCATTATCACATTTCAAGGCTCTCAGATTGAACTAGTATCTCAGTATAAATACTTATGTTTTGACCTTTGTTGCCCACATTCAACAACTTGTAAAAAGTTGGAGATAAAATTGGGTTGTTTTTTTTAGAATTAGATCTTGTCTGTCTAAAGTTTGAGGCTAGAAAATGTCTGGTTGCTGCCACATTTTTGGCCATCTTAGACTAGGTACAGTAGATGTGATTTATATGCATCTCACTGGTTGCATTTGTTGGACTCTGTAAATCATGGAGCCTTGTGTGTTATCTCTTGTCTTAGAGCCCTTACACACCACTGTCGTCTGTATACCAGCGTTGAATGGACTGCCTTGTACACCCACAGATTTGTTCATAATGTAGTTTACAAAGCAATCTTGGCCTTTACCTCCAGTCCTATACTGTTAAAAAAACATCAAGAGGTAATTTTCTGCTCTCAGATGAGTTCATTTAATTAACTGGAACAAAAGTTTGCACCGATTACGACAAAAGATCCTGCCACCTTGCTGGTCCCTCAGACTGGAATCTACTGCAGAAAGACTTGAAGTTGAAGGAGTTGATCTCATTTAATGTTTTAGGGCCATTCTTAAACAGTTTGTACATGAGACATTTGATTGTAAATGTCTTGACTGATTTTGTACTCTGTTTTAGTAATTTTACCTTTTTAATGGGTGTTTCTTGTTTTGTTTATTTATCATGATCTATTTAATTGTATTTTAATATCTGGTTTTGGATTTTGCAATGACTGTGTGCTGCTGCCATTCTTGACCAGGTCTCCTAAAAAATGAGATAAACCTGGTTAAATAAAGTTTTAAATAAACATTGTAGTTTTACTTGACGAGTCAGATTTATAACTTACGAGTAACAACTTGTAATTATCTTTTTGTTAATTAATATAATATTTATTTTTATCATATGACTGACAGTCTTCTTTTCCTCAGCAAGCAGACGAGACGCTGAACTTTGAAGAGCAGATCCTGGAGGCTGCCAAGTCCATCGCTGCCGCCACCAGTGCTTTAGTCAAATCAGCTTCAGCGGCTCAGAGAGAGCTGGTGGCTCAGGGGAAAGTGGGTTCCATCCCTGCCAATGCAGTGGATGATGGACAGTGGTCTCAGGGGCTCATCTCTGCTGTAAGTATCAGGCTGAGTGTGATCCAGGTTACAGCTGTAAGTTTTATTTCCTAATATTGTGAACGATCGCACAGGCACGTATGGTAGCTGCAGCGACCAGCAACCTGTGCGAAGCAGCTAACGCCTCTGTTCAAGGCCACGCCAGTGAGGAGAAGCTCATCTCCTCAGCCAAACAGGTGGCGGCCTCCACCGCTCAGCTGCTGGTGGCCTGTAAGGTGAAGGCAGACCAGGACTCCGGGGCCATGAGGAGGCTGCAGGCATGAACAGCAGATACTTGTAGCTTTTTAGGATTTGTAATTCGGCTCGTCTCAGCTGGGCTCTTTGTTCTGCAGATTGCCGGGAATGCAGTAAAGAAGGCGTCCGATAATTTGGTGCGGGCAGCCCAGAAAGCAGCTTTTGACAAAGCAGATGAAGACAACGTGGTGGTCAAGACGAAGTTTGTAGGTGGAATCGCACAGGTAATGACTGAAAAGCTTTATTGTTTAATTGAACTGACTACAGCTAGGGGTCTCATAACCTCAGTAGCATGACAGCTCCATAAACAGGCATTTAACTAGAGGAGCGCCTTCTGTTTTCAGATGCAACGCCTCAGGGCATCGTTCTGAACCTTGGGCTCGCCAAAAGTTTATTTATTTATTTATTTTACGCGATGCAAATTTTGTAAACTTCGTAAGCAGCATGCAGGTGACAGCAATTATTCTACGAAGCCAGAGGAAGACACATACTGAATAAATTGTGCTGGCTTGGATAAAGGTGGGTAGTGATGTTATGACTTCAGTAGGTGTTGAGTGTGTTTTTTCCACGGAGCTCGCGAGGGGACATGTGGGGGGGATTTTTTTCTTTTGCGTTACCTCGCAATACTATTGCATTACCTCACAATGCTATTGCATTACCTCACAATGCTATTGCATTACCTCACAATGCTATTGCATTACCTCACAATACTATTGCATTACCTCACAATGCTATTGCATTACCTCGCAATGCTATTGCGTTACCTCACAATGCTATTACGTTACCTCACAATACTATTGCATTACCTCGCAATACTATTGCGTTACCTCGCAATGCTATTGCGTTACCTCGCAATGCTATTGCGTTACCTCGCAATGCTATTGCGTTACCTCGCAATGCTATTACGTTACCTCACAATACTATTGCATTACCTCGCAATGCTATTACGTTACCTCGCAATGCTATTACGTTACCTCACAATACTATTGCATTACCTCGCAATGCTATTGCGTTACCTCGCAATACTACCTCGCAATGCTATTGCAATACCTCACAATGCTATTGCATTACCTCACAATGCTATTGCATTACCTCACAATACCATTGCGTTACCTCGCAATGGTATTGCGTTACCTCACAATACTATTGCGTTACCTCGCAATGCTTTTGCGTTACCTCGCAATGCTTTTGTGTTACCTCGCAAACGTTTGTGTTACCTCGCAAAATTGTTTTGCTTTCCCATGCAAAAGTTTGTATATGAACTGAATTAAATCAGACTTTTGTTTTGAAATATCCAGTTACCAAAACAGGATGTGTTGCCACAAGTTTGTGAAATTGACATTGATGTTGTGTGGCTGTACTGTGTTGAAATATCGGCATATGACGTACTTCCATGCTTGGCTGTGTAATAAATTCATTCTGAAGCTGAATTAAAGTAGTAGGCTAACTCGCTAATGGTGAACATGTGAATCTGTTAATAGACCGGCAGGCACAACAGTGACAAACGTCTTTTGCGTGGGAACGCAAAAGCAAAAAAAAATATCCCATGTCCTCTCGCGGGCTCCGTAGTTTTCTGCTGTTCTGTCCTGTCCTGTCCTGTCCTAAAATGTTTTGTTTTCTCTGCTCAGATTATCGCAGCGCAGGAAGAGATGCTGAGAAAGGAGAGGGAGCTGGAAGAAGCCAGGAAGAAGCTGGCTCAGATCAGGCAGCAGCAGTACAAGTTCCTGCCCAGTGAGCTACGAGAGGACACCAACTAATCACTGCTGCAAACTCTCAACACTAATGTGAAGAGCACACCTGTGCTAACATGAAATCTGTGTCCCGTCGGCACACCTGGACAGGTATTTGGTCTACAAGGACGTCTGTCTTCATCCTACAGATAGATCTGCAATTCAGACACTAGCGACTTCAAAGTACTACTGTGTGAAACTGACTACTTCCTGAAAAATAGCATAATGATTGTGGTGAACTGACTCTATCCTAATGTAAAGCAGATAAGGCAGAATGTGACAGATGTAGGACAAACAGCACAGCTCACATATGCTCTCGTTTGCCCATAAGCTACTCTTTTAAGTTTGCAGCTCTAATGTAAAAAACAAAAAACTATCAAATGAAGAACTGATTGTACTGATGTTTGTGTTGCATTGCCATATAACTGCAGCGTTAATCCTTAAGCAAAAACCTTTCAGCTCGGTACTCCGATAGTGTGAATGTCGGACTTTTATGCTCCAGTTTGCACCTTAATGTCTGTGAATCTTTTAAACCAACAGTGGCATGTCTTCACTTGATTTCAGAGCTCATTAACTCTAATGTGAAGGAAGGATTTAGTATACTGTTGTTTCTTGGATGGTAGTGTGGTTGTTTCCAATAATGGACTGTTGGTTCAATAATGTCTCTGTTTGGGAAAGTTTTACTGTAATTCATACAAATATCTTTACTTTGTCTTCACATGTTCATGCTGACATTTCTCTGCTCTTTAGGCAAAGCATATTAAGGTTAAACAAATGAAACTTGTCTGTTAGAGCCTTTATGTATAAGTTTTGATTTTTTCACCAGAAATGTTCCCATAATATGGTTACTTATAATAACTGAGGGTCTTAGCAGAGCAGGGTCTCTTTATATCTATCAAGTTTCAGAACAGAAACCAAACCCAAACCTTCAAACACTTCTTTATTTTTAATCATACAGATATGGAAACACAGCATGAAGAACAGTTTAATCATGATGCAATAACATGGTTGGTGCTTTAGGGGGCAGCATTGGTTTCCATTTACATCATGCAAAATTAAACACAGAGTTGAAGGAGGGATTGCATTTGAATATAGACTGAGCATGGGGATTAGCTCCTTCCTCATGTAAATTCACAGTAAATGAAAAGATGAGCTTTGACTTGAAACTGAGCTCATCACAATGTAGAGCCACTTCTGTGCGCTTTGTAGATTTACCTCATTCTGTACGCTCATACCTGTACCTCCCACTATTAGCAACTTGTCAAGTTCTAGCAATATTGTCACTGCCAGGGATTGCTTTTCTTGTTTGTTTTAATTAAATTTCAGGAAACTTTAGAAATCTAAAAAATAATAATAATAAAATAAATAACTTGGCAATAAACTAAATCGATTAAACTTCTGAGGGAAATTGTAGAAATTGTAATTGAAGTGACTGCAAAGATAATCGTTAACATCAGGGGTGCTCTGCAACTTTATGAATATGCTCTTTACTGCAATAGAAGAACTGTTTTGTTTACCAAGTTTGATTGTAATAAGTGTGTTTTTTTCCCTCTTGTTTCATAATATGAGTTGTGTTTTACTTTTAAACAACAGTGTATATTATAAGATTAGGTCCTGCTGTGGAAAATGCATGGCTTTGTGCTTCAGGTCAGAGTGATTCAAACCTCCACGTAGTCACACTATACCACACACTATACCACAGCTTATGTCTTAAAGGGATGATTCAGATCTTTAAAAGGGGGTTTAATGGAAAGGTTATAAGTGGTTAACATCTTACCTGTTGTAGATTTCTTTATGAACAACTTAAGTTTGGAGAAATTATTTTGCTTCGCCAAATTAACAAGCTAACATCTAGTCTGAGGGAAGCAGCTAGCTGCTGCTGTGCTAATTGCTCTTGCAATTAACCACAGTATAAATAATTGTTCAATGTGAAACTTTTGGTAGTGTAAAGATTTCTAAAATGTTGTTTACAATGAATCGTGATTTTTAAGTTGTTTTAAAATGGTGGAGGAAAAAATCCACGTTGGTTTTGACCACTCAGACTAGCCATTAGCTCATCAATAGAATCAGAATTAAACACTATTTCTCCAAGCTGAGGTTGTTCAAAGAGTTATCTGAAACAGGTAAGACGTTAGCTGTTTAAAACATTTTCACCTGTAAAGATGTGAACTGTTGGTTTAAGACGGATAGTTGTGTTTGGGTTCAAACTGGTTTTGATCGTTTGTGTAAGTGAGTGTGTGTGAGTAAGCATTGAAATGATGGGAAGCGTCCACTGCTCATCAGTTAAGTCTGTAGTGTTATTATTAGTGCCTTAGTCCTTTACCCATCCAGTGTTTGCTGCTTGACTGACAGCTTCATGATCAGTAGAAGATGAGTTTGGAAACATAGGTTCATGATCTGTGGGTTTTTTTTTCTACACTCACTAACTCACTGCTCCTCTTAAGTGCTGAGTCAGCTGCTCCTCCTATCTCTCTCCTCTCTGCCTCATGTGAAGCCTTTTCGGAGGATGACAAAGTGACTGTCTGCCAGCCGTAAAAACGCGCTTCGGTTTCAAACCTGTGCGTGCATCACCTACACGAGCACATTTGTTTTGTACTGAATCTTGTGAGCATGTACCACAGCGCTTCTTCAACAGCACAGAATGAAGTTTGTTTACTGCTTTATTGTGTGTTCTGATGTCTGACATTTTTATGGATAAGCTCTTTGTTTTAGTGCTTTAAAGGTTCTCTTGAAAGCTAAATGTGACAGGAATATTTGGATAATATCCGTCACCGTTTCGACGCTGTGGAGTAATAACAAGTGTTCTGTATGTTCCCGCTTCAAAGAAATGAAATTAGGAAGTTGCTTCACTAAAGATGAATGAGAACTTAAAATAATGAAGATATTTATCTGGGCTCAATTAAAGTATTTTTTGTATTCACTAAAAATAAAGCATTTCGTTGTAATGAAACCGTTTCATGTGGTTTGTTTTGTGGCAGACAACTTTTCTGTTTTGCTCTCATGTAAAGTTGTAATCCTAATTATGACTGTAATTTAGATAAGTCATATCAATTTAAATGTTAATTATTCACAATAAAAATTCATAACAATTAATAATTAGTCATAATTTAGGTTCTCTGGGCAGTTTTCTTACTGTTTGTTTGTTTTTTAGTAATTTTTGGTCAACTGTAGCCAGTGGCGGATCTAGGATTTTTCTGAGTAAGGGGCCATCAAGGGGCCACAATATTCACAGAGGTGCCAAGTCTTTGTGCAACATCCTTTCACACAAATTCCCAGTGTGTACATTTTACACTTCAAACACTTGTAATGTAATGTAATTTTTTTCAAAAATGTACCACTTTACAATAAGGCTCCTCTTGTAGATGGCTTCTAAATAGTTTATAGATAGGTTATTAATCAATCTGTAAACACTTTAAAAATAATAATAAGTGTTTATTATGCAATAATTAAGGACGAGAAAGAGACAAAATTGTCCAGTTTCATTTATTAATGATTTATGAAGTGTAAACTTTACAAATGAATTAATAACCTATCTATAAACTCTTTATAAGCCATCTATAAGGGGAGCCTTAATGTAAAGTGGTACCAAAAAGCTTGCACAGTAAATTATCACCAGTTTTTCATTCATTTTACTGTACATAGATAAAATATTTTCAAACACACATGTGAGAAAATCCAGCCATCATTTCTCAGTTGAAAGACTTTTTTGCAGGATTGTTCACATTTTAAGAAGAGAAGAATTCTGTAAGCTTGATTCATTCTGGACTTTACTATTTGACTCATTACCACAACTGGTGTTTGAACAAGGAACTGCATCCACCATCATCACCCCCAGGTAAAGGACAGAGGAGTGACAGGACAGGGGCACTTCAGGGGGCCAATCAGATTTCAGCTGGGGCCAATGTCACTGTGGCCCCTGACTAACAGCTGCACTGATGAACATGAAGTCTGGCAGGAATGTACGGTAAACCCCCTATTTGAGGAGGGGGCTCCATCTAAACATGGGGTGTCTGGACATACAAAAATGCTTAACGGTTTCAGATGTTTTTGTTGTTTAGCTCTGATGAAGGGCAGCACGATGGCTCAGTGGTTAGCACCGATGCCTCACAGCAAGAAGGTCCCCGGTTCGGACCTGAGGTCTTTCTGTGCAGAGTTTGCATGTTCTCCTCGTGCTTGCGTGGGTTTTCTCCAGGTACTCCAGTTTCCCCCACCCTCAAAACCATGTACATGTCGGTTTCCTTCAGGCCCAGGCCGCCCTTGAAAAAGAGATCTGCGATATAAATGGGATTTGCCTGGTAAAATAATGGTTAATAAGTAAATGAAGTGCTATCCATCAGGTCAATGAGCTTCCTCTAGTTTTCTAGCTGTTCAATTTGTATTTTTCCTTTAATAAATAAATAAATAAAACCCTACGAGAAACACAATCCAGTATTTTATGCATCCTGACTAAAAGATTTTAAAAAGTGCATTTGAAATATTTTAGTTATGTCCAATATCCAACAGCACCGGTTGTACTAGTGATTCATAGGTTTCATGTTTATTTTGACCATTTAATTAAGAAAAGTTAACATTAAACTTTTGCCTCAATTTTCAATCCTGAATGCAACAAACAGCTTGGGTTCACCTAAACGTACAAAAGTTCAACATCCAAAGACTTTAGAAGAATTTATTCTTTTCATCTTGGAGTAAAATTAATTTCTTTTGTTTTTATTATAATAAGTATTATTAAATGTAAGCAATCCCACTCATGGTGTGTGTTACGGCCATGTTTGATCATTTCTGACTGAACACAGAACCAATGGAAGTTTTCAGGCCAAAAACAAGACTTGTCAATTCTGTCCCCTTTAGAGTCAGGAGAACAGGACTGCATTTCTGAGTCAGCACAAAACCAGAAGCTATACTGAGTCCAGGCAAAGAAATGAGAACTGTGCTAAATTTGTCCGGTACTAAAATTTAAGGAGCCAATGTCTTCAGCTGCTCCTGGGACGGCCTTCACACCTGCCCCTTTTTTTTCCCCTGATATTCTCTCAGGCTTTTCCCGACCACATGCTTGTTCAAGTGAATAATATTTTAATCCAACACAAATTTTAATGTTTGTAATGAGCAGGGGCATCACTAGATTTTAAGGACAATGGGGGCTTAGCCCCCAGGAGATGCACATAATTTCTGTATATTTTGTACTTGTATTGTGTGGATGTAAATATTAAATGTTTATTCATTCTGACCACATTATATTGAATTTTTGGAAAAAAAAATATTTTTTTTTACACCAAAATAATTTAGGGGGGCTTTAAGGCGTAGTGATGCCACTGGTAATGAGGCCATATTTACTGTGACTTGGTTTAGAAAAAGAATGGAGGGCAGAGAATTTAATGTGGGTTAGCAGCTGATAAAAGTCAGCTCATCTGATATTTTTATGTCTTAAGCCTAATAATAATAATAAAAGTCAGAAGATGGATACTGTTACTGATTTTGGAACATGACAAGTCTAACAGGTTCACCTGTCTGAACTCTGAGGCACCAAAATTATTATTTTTTCCTGTCATCTCTTGTTTCAGCAGTTCTTTTCAGTGAAAGGTAAATGTTATTTCAGATAACAGGCTAATGTGCTTAGAAGCAAAATTTGTACAACCTCTCCTAAAATGTTCTAAACCTCTAAATGGTTATAAAAAATGAAATAAGAAATAGAAATAAAGTTTAACTCAAATACTTTTGAGAGAAAATTCTGTTTCAACATAATAAAAAATTGCTGGTTGAGAATCACTACAAAAGCAAAGTATTTATTTTAATATAAAATTTCTTTGTAAACAATCAATCAATTAGATATTCATGACTATAAACTGACAATGGCCAGCTGATAAAGGAGATTTAAAAGCTCTTTACACTTCACATGTGGCTCTTTGAAGGCCTGCCATGTCTCCATTAGCAGGTCAAATACTTCCTGGCATGATGGGAATTCAAGGAATTCAGTGGGCTGTCATCCCACCTGTTTGTCCCACAACTTTTACAGCATAGTTTTGGTTTGTCTGTAGTGTTGGGGAGTTTTCTACAAAGCTGACACATACAAGATTTATAAACAGTATATTGGGTTACCAAATAAAACTCGCGCAGAAAGAGAGCTTGGAAAATCAAACAGTTCTTGTTTTTAATCATCAGACGTGATCGTCTCACTGCTGTAATCCAAGAAACCCTTTTCTCCTGAGTGAGTCCAATGTTCGTCTCCCCAGGGTGTGAGGGTGACATGGATTGTGCCGTGAGACACTCTGATCTCTGTGTATGACCGGCATGTTAGGCTGCCCACACAACACATGGCAGGAGGACAACCTGATGACAGCTGACAGCTTTAAAAAGGCTCTGCAGGAGGACCGTCACACCAGACCACCAAAGTCATAGAAAGCAGCAGTGAGATGTGCAGAAAACTGAGTTTTATTTCATTACTTAAAAGCTCATAACAAGCACAAATGCATTCTAGTGTTGTAAACGCTTTTAATGTTTTAACGATTGTAAATGTTTTTAATTTCTTCCTTAGAAAAAAAGGAAGACATTTACATTTTGAGATTTGTCAACAACAGAAATTGATTTTATTGCTTCCTGCTAACAACTAACGGGAATTATGTTTTTGCACTTGTCTATGTGTGTGTTTGTCTGTGCTGTTAGCAAAATATCTCATGAACCAGTGAACAGATTTGACTGAAACCCCTCAGAAATAGTTGTTTCATGTACATGTGCTTAACTTTTGCAGTTGGCTCAATTTACAATGGCTGTCTCAGCTCGCATGGCTTTAGCAAACACAAATGGTTATAATCATTTTACAGACTAAGCCAAACATCTGGTGAGAGTCATCCCCATCATATAATCTGAAAACAGCTTTAATTCTGTCCCTTATTACCGTAAATCCATTTTTATTGAAAACTCTGGCATGAAAGGCGACATGCATTCTTCCAAGAAGTGGCAAACATCTAATTGATCCAAATATATATATATAT